AATAGGGCAACTCTGAAAATCTTTTGAAAACAGCTCCACAATCTAGAGGTGGGTAATGCATGAGTAAGTGAATTGAAAAAGGAGTGAAAAAGGAGAAATTATCAGCTCGGTGATGAGAAAAACTCAGAAACCTACCAACAGATAGAAATATGGAAGTTAAATAAGTAGTTTAAAGAAAAAAAACAACAACCCTATTCCCTTTTCAGAAGAAAGTGAAGTATGTGGATAAAAAGCTGACCATAAACAAATGTTTTTATTTTTGTCTCTGCAGCAGTTTGGCAAAATCCTAGATGTAGAAATAATCTTTAATGAACGTGGCTCTAAGGTAAGTTCCGTTTCAGCATTAAGTGTGCTTGGTTTCTTTTTAGTTTTGTTTTATTTTAAACAGCAAATAATCAGAAAACTTCAGCTGTTTTTCAAGCTTCCAGAAAGTATCCCAACTATCTGGCTTGGATTGGATTATCTCTAAAAATAAGCCACCACATGCCCAAACTTTATCCTAATATTTAAACCGGGAAAGTGATGGGCCAGAAGCAAGAGAAGTTTGTTTTGCAAGATGAAAAAAAGTCTGGAGGTGAATGGTGGTGATGGTTGCACCACAATGCGATATTTTTAATGCCACTGAACGATACACTTAAAAGTGGTTAAGCTGGTAAATTTTGTTATGTATATTTTACCACCATAAAAAGAATAAACATTTTTAAATTTAAAAATGAAAAAAAGAAGTTTGAGGGAGGAGTGGTGTAGTCAGGAAGATAGGATGTAGGGGACGCCAGTCCTTTATCAGACTTAAATTTGGCCTACGCTGTTTATTCTAAAGGCATGGAGAGATACTACTGAGGAAAGTGCAATTCTAGGAGAATTCTAGTCTTTTAAAATCGAACTTTGAAACAACATAACTTAGAACAAATTGAATATTTCAGTTATTCAGTTGACTTGCTCTCTCTTTTGAATAAACTTTGACAAGGCTTAAATACAGGGAGTAGTGACTCAGGAATTCACTATAAACTGACTTCCCCCTTTAAGTTACACCCAGATAGACAAGCTGTAGGGTGTAGTCACTTCAATCACAAACACAGTGAGTTGATTTTTTTTTTTTTGCATAAAAATGAACAGTTTGCAATTTGATATATGTATTCTCTTCTAAATGTGTTCTACATAAGAACTGAAATTTTTAATTAAAACATTTTCCCTTAATAAATTTACTATTTTAAATTCCCAATCTATACGATTTAGAATTTTTATGCACAAAATAAGCAGCAGTGTTTTTAGGAATGAGGGAATGGTAAAGTCTTACAATGGCGTTATGAAAGAATATTTGATGAACTGAATTTCGGAAAGTTTTATTTAAAAGTTTTCTTCCTCCGCAGCAAATTAAACACACTCTACAGACACAATCAGCTGTGGCCAAGCTTATACATATTTACCTTGCTGTGTTCAGCTCTACTTGCATTTTTAGGTTACACCAGTTTTTGTATTAATTTTCATTTGGTCAGCTCTGCTCAACTTTGAAAATAGCCCTTGGCTATGATTAAATCTCTAAGAATGTAACTTGAGAAAACTCATTTAATCGCTTTATTTAACTTAATATTTATGTCTCTTCAATTTTTTATTCCAAATTCACCATCCTTTGGGAATTAATAACACATATCTTCAGAGGCATATTTACCTGCTGCCCCCATCTGTATTAATACAAGTGTATGTACTGTTTTAATGACTACTATTCCCTTCCTTTATAGAATGCATCAACACTAAAAGTGTTTAACTCTGACCATAATAATTATTTTTTAATTATCAAAGAGGTAATTATACACTAAGCTTCCAGTTTTCAGTTAAAACAAAAAAGATTAATATGCCTATACAGAACTTTCTCCAGCACTTACTTGGTAAGTAGTTTTAAAGTGAAATCTATTCAAACTGTAACCAGAAAAACTATTTATGCTTGTAATTTCCTCATGATGGATTTGTGTTCCTTTGTTGTATAGTTTGCTTTTATTTTTTTGTTACCTTTTTAGATACAAGGTGGAAAATGACGGGTTTAGAGATGAGAAGCACGTGACTGTTAAATAAATGTGTGAAGATCATTGACTACACTGTTTAGCTAAAGTAGCAGTTTAAATGTTTTTGGTTTTTAAGTGTATGCATTTAAGATATCCTTAAGGAGATACTAACAAACAACCAAAAGCCCAATGTAACTTCATCAAGCATTGAGGACTTGCTCCTTACCAAGAAAACCATTTGACTGAGTTCTTGTGAAGCAAAGGAAATTGATCTTTCTTAAGGCTTCTTTCATTGACTTCAAGGATTTGCTTACTACCAAAACATTTTAAATTTACCCGATCCAATTGCTTCTCCCCTGTAACTTTCGTTTTGAAATGACACAAGCCTTTCTTTTCTCTTTGGGGAATGAATCAAAAAGCGTATGCTGCTGCTCTCAGCTTGATGCTGTGTCCTCACTGCCCTTTTTCTTTGGGCTGCTGAAGGATAGACAAGTATTACTAATTGGTAAATGTGTTTAAAACAAAGTCCAGAATTTGGCCTTGTCTTGGACCTGCCTTCAAGGACTGATACGAAACCTGTCTTCATCCCTGCCCTCCTTACCTGTTCCCTAAGGTTCTTTGCTGGAATGGGTTCCCCTGAAACTGTGCTGAGGCGTGTTAATAGACATTTATTTTGGAGTGAAAACCTAGGTACTTCTTCTGGGAGCCACTTCAGATAAATTAATGAGTGCTTCTTTTTTTGTAAATTAAGTTTAGTTTCTTATTTTCTTTTATGTTTGGGGTTGACTATAAAATTACAATGTCTTCAAAGGAACCAGAGAAAAGGAGACTTATGTGGTTCTATTGTTTAGTTAAGAGTCATTCAGTCTTTTAACTGAATGCTTTTCTGGACAGAAATTAGCTTAACTGAAATTTTTTTTAAGCAGTAATGGAAAAACTAGTCACAAAATAATTCTGACATAAGGAATACTTACATGTAAAACAGTATTTAACCAAATGGTTCCAAAACAAAAGGCAGCGCTTTACCATGTCTTATTTTTTATAATGGGACTTACAGCCCAAGGGTTTAGAATATACCCAACTTCAAAACATAGGTGAACACTGTTATGCTTCCGTACCCATCCCTTCCTGTTGCCAATACTCTACCTTTCCAGCCTGCCTGGGAAGCAGAATTTGTGTGCTCCAGGAGGTAATTGTTTCTTTGTTGACTATTTTCCTTTTTTTCCCCTTTGCCCTTCATATTCTAGATTTGGTTTACCTAGATTATTGAATGAATAGATATCATTGACATGCACACACATGCATACATATATACTTGAACTATTTCATGTGGTTTTTAAAAAATCTTTTTACTTCCTACTCCTTCGTGAAAACATAAAGTCAGCTGTATCTAATTCTCTGTGATTCACTGAAACAAAGATAGACTGTTCTTTTGAAAATGTTCAATTAGGATATATGATGAAAAGTGGTACCCCCTGCCAAAAAATGAACTAATGTACTCAAATAGACTCTAGAAAAGGATTATACATATATGTTTAGCTGACTTGAGTCTCCAAATTTCACCAGTCATAGCAAGGATAATGTATTGGTAGAGTGGCCATATGTTCTGTGTTAGCCAGGATAGTTCTACTTTATATCCACTATCTTAACATAATAATAATGTCCCCTTCTTCCCTTAAAGTGCCAGTTTGAACAATCAATTATATTGTCACTCTCCTTAGAGATCCTTTGAGCAACAACTTTAAAAAAAAATACCTTTTAAAAACCATTATATAAGGAAATATGATGTTTAATGAGAAGTAGAAGGAAAAAAGCATACATAGTTCCATATTCACTAATATTCTTCTCATGTATTTCCTTCCAGTCTTTTTTCTCACATAGATTCTTAAACAGAACTCTAAATAATGGTCACCTCGTTCAGCTCCCATTATTCTTGCCCTTGCATTTCTCTGCGAGACACTTTTAATGACTAAGAACTTGTTGCTTTTCAAAGTGTATTCTATTGTTGAAATTCAGACTTTGCACCATCCTTTTCACTATCACCCAGCCCCATAACAATTTGTGATAATTATCAAGTTATTAAAGAAAGAAATATGCAGATTCTAACATTTATATTTTCCCTGAAGTTTTGTCACCATACTTTTGGTATAGTTGTCGCTGGAAGGGACGTATGTATATAAATCCTGAATGTATAGAAGGTGAGGAGCTTCAGACAGTGCCAATCATTAATTCCACTGCAGGACTGCAAACCAGAGCACAGCAACAATTATGGGTATCTCTAGCAAATTTTCAGTTGGTGTGTTCTTATTACTTCTCTCAGGTGGATTTCTGGAGTGGTGGGGATCTGGGTTTGGGCCAGGCTTAAACTTAGGCTGGAATTAGAGAAGATGAAACCTCTCCATCCCAGACACAAGTTATTTCTTGCCTATTATTATTTCTTGCCTATTTCCCTGGCTTTTGATTTCATGAAAAGGGGAATCGCTTATTTCTTTCTTTCAAAATACGATCAAAAGACTGTCTCTGAGATTACACTAAGTTGGCCTTTGCAATTTTCAGTAAAATTTGATAGGTAATGCTGAGATAAAATGTATTTCTTTATACTTAAAACTGAATTAACAGTGCATGTATTTCCAAATGGCTTAGTTTATTTTCTTTGGTTACCATTCATGGGTTTTTAGTTTTATTTTTCTTTTATTTATTTTTTAATTTCTGTGTTCTGGCCATACCCAGGAGAACCGTCTGCTTTTGATTTCTCCCTTAAAAGTTACATGGTAAATTTTCTTTCTCATTCTTCTGAGATGGGAAAATTCAAAGATTATCATACAAATTAAAAAATACTTTTACAATGCTCATCCTGTTGCTTGTTATTTATTTCAGTCTGAGGCCAGACTAAAAAGGTGACAGTTATTCGGCTCCTCTACGCCCTTGATGATAAATGGATGTCAGGGCAGGAGATAAAATTTTTGTCACACTCAGGGAAGAAGTTTAAACCACAACCACACACCTCATAAACACACCATTCCTTGATTTCCAAAAGACAGCTAAAATAGCTGGTAATCACTTTTATAAAACTGGTGTGTTTAAATTATTAGCATATTTAGGTATGACTTTAGGTATGAGCTTAAGGCATATGGGCCTGCATTTGTCCAGCACAGTGGCCATTTCAAGCACTTGAAATGTGGCGAGTCTAAATTGAGATGGGCTTTCAGTGTAAATTACACGCCAATTTCAAAGACTTAGCACAAAAAAAAGAATGTTAAACATCTCACTAATAATGTTTTTATGTTGATGCCATGTTGAAATGATTTGTATATATTGGGTTAAATAAAATATATTATTGAAATTAAAATAACTTGTTTTTACTTTTTTAATGTGGCTAGTAGAAAATTTTTAATTATGTATGTGGCTCATGTTATAGTTCTATGGGATAGTGCTGATGTTGACAAACATGTCAACATATTTTTTTTAATTAAAAATAAAACTTTACTTTTAGTTTATCTGTTTATCTTCTTTACATACCTGAAATATGCTTGGTAAGAGAATTACCAAAGATTAAATCTTAATTTGACTGTAGCTATTCAGACTGGCTATTATGTTTCCCTGTTTGATACATTGTATGATCATTTTAAAGCTCTTCTAAGAAATATGTATGTGTTAGGTTTAGACATAATTTTCTTAAATTTTTTTTCAAAGCAAAAGATCTGAATGACCAAACTTAATGTGAATTAGATTTCCCAAAGTGAAGGAACATTAAAACATAGCATCATGGAAGCATATTTTCCCATTAGTCCATTTTTAAACCTAGATAATCTGTGACTATCCTTAGCTCAATTCCTGGCACATTTTCAAAAGTGCTAAATTTTGTTGAAGAAACAGTACATTAAATTTTTTTTCAAGCTTTTTGAATTAATCTTCTTGAAACCAAATTGTAAATGTGATAGATAATAGCAAGCGTGAAGTTGAGTTGATAGAAAATCATCTGTTTAAAGTTTCAACACGAGAAAAAAGTATTTAAAAACAATACTTTAAACTGATAAGAACAGATACTACACTTGATCTTAGCCAAAAGGCTGAGAAGCGATTAAAAACAATACTTTAAAAATGTTGGTTATAGGGCCAGTCGAGTGGCTCAGTTGGTTAAGAGCTCACTCAAGAGTACAAGCTCTGAGCAAGGGTTGCCGGTTTGATTCACGGCCCGAGCTGAGCTGCCAACAGGTGGCAGGATGGCTCAGCTAAAAAAAAAAAAAAATTACCTTTCTAATCACAGACTTTGATTCTAAGAGGTATATATTAATTTCCTATTGCTTGTGAATGAATTAACCACAAATTTGGTGGCTTAATACAACACATTTATTATCTTACAGTTCTGGAGGACAGAAGCCCAAAGTGGGTCCCACTAGCCTAAAATCCAAGTGTTGGAGGACTGCATTCCTTCCTGCAGCTCTAAGAGATAATTGACTTCCCTGCCTTTTCCAGCTTCTGGAGGTGGCCCACGTTCCTTAGCGTATAGCCCCCTTCCATCTTCAAAGCCATCAGTGGCCAGTCCAGTCGTTCTCAGGCTGCTGCGCTCTGGTTCTGACTCTCCTGTCTCCCTCTTTCACATATAGGCGCTCTTGTGATTACATGGGCCCACCTAGATAATCCAGGGTAATCTCCCTATCGCAAGGTCATTAATTTAATCACATCTGCAAAACCCCTTTTGCCATGTAAGGTAATATGCTCACAGGTTCTGGGGATTAGGACAGCTTGGGGTGGGGGGCATTATTCTGCCTGTTTATCTTCAAAGGAAAGAGAGAGATCCTCTGACCTCCATGTTTCCTATCAGGAGATCCCACAGTATCAGCAAGGCCTCCTTCCTGCTCTTTCCCTAGGTGAAGATACCTGTAAAGGGTGCTTTATTCTCATGCCTTTGGTATCTTGATTAGCATTTCCCTTGGAGTATAAGCACCTTTCTTTATGAAACATTTTTAAAGCATTTGAAAGTGAAATTTTGTTCTAGACTATTAAAGTCATTATTGAGAAAAACATACAAGCAGACTTCAAGGTTAAACTTGGTCATTTGCTGACTAAAATATGTCAATGCGTATGATAAACACCCTGTATTTTTTTGGATATGCAATTATTGTGTCACAGATGTTCTGTCAACACATTTCAGAAAGGAGGGTCATAGAACACATTTGGCAATTAGATTTGAAAAAGAAGATTAGAAGGATTTTAGGACTAATGTAGTTTAGTAAATAGAATACCAAACTTAGATTTCAAAGCTTAATTTCTAATTTCCTCACCGTTAACTGGAAGAAGCAGCTACATAAAAGGAAGAAGGCCTTGTTGGTGCTTGGGTACTTAACCTCAGTTTCTTTACCTTCAAAACAAAACCAACAGATTTATCCTTTCTATCCATGCTGTATTTAAAAGACAAACAACTATGTATGTTGTTTATACGTATATAGATAGTCATAATGCTTAAATTAAAAGCCTAGCTTTAGTCTCCATGTAATCTGTTATACAAGTACTAATTTATTAATTTAACCCAAGGCATAAAATGTATGAGGCTGTGACACTCAGTTGGAATACACTTTCCTATTGGAGAATTGGAGAACTGGTTTCCTGTCTTCAGCAGATCTAGTGTCAATGACAAATGGTGTGATTTATTAATAACTTGCCCTTGTATACCTTGACTTGTCAAAGTGGCCGTAACATATTGATACCAAAATTTGTTTCTTAAAATGTGTTCCCATTGATCTTTTCAACACATTGGCATTTTTAAGGGAAACACTGACTAAAAATTACCCATAATATCCCATCTCAAGCAACATGCATTTAAAATTTTCTGTCAGCTTAACATTGCGCTTCTAGGGTATTTGTGGCGATATCCAAATTGATAGTCGACATAATCGACTAGAATCCTCCATGGGTCGCCACCCAACCATTTAATCATTAGAATGGAGTAATCAAACCCTTCAAAATGATGGAGTTGCTTTTATAAAATCTTATGGACCAATGCACACTCTTTGCCATCTCAGTTAAGAATATGTTTTGCATGTATAGGAGTACCCATGGTATTAAGCTGTAAAGCAGAACTTCAGTAAAAATACAGGGTTCCATGTTGTCATCCTACAATGGAAGGTTCAGAGAACACTGAAGGGACAGGGAAGCTGTTGAGAAATGAGGACTTTCCCAGAAAATCCTAAGAATTTATCATTCTACAGATGTAAATATAGTTGCAAAGTGGAGAAAGAAGGAAAAAGTACCTAGAATGAAGCTGATATAATTCCTCACGAAATAGTCATATAAGAATATAGTAAATCCTACTGATGTTGAAATTAACTGTGATGACCCAGACAGCATTTTCAGATAGAATGTGAACAATAAAGTAGGGTAACTCCCTGGTCTCCTGCTTTGTCCACTTAATGAATTAAAGCTTCTTGGGATTGGTTTGGTGTTGCAGTAGCTACATTGCACAAATAAATTAATCCTAACTCAAGGTAGCAGCTGTAATTGCTGTTTTATGGTATCCTTTTCCTGTTGAATAGCATGCAACTGGTGTCGCTAACGTACATCTCACTCCCATCGCCCTTGAGCTACTCCTTTTTTCTCTATAAACAAAAATTGCCAATACATTTAATCGCAGACACAGGCTTCAACAAATGTGTAATTCGGCAAGTTTGGATAAGCGATTTTCTGAAATTCAGCTGAATGTATTTTTACTCTGTGTGCCAGTCTGGTTGTTTACAATCAGCACTGAAGAAATGTCGCAATTGCTTGACCCTGCTTAGTGACAGTTTCGTTTGCTTAGATGTCCATGAGTACTTTTCTTTACTATACCCATTACCTGTGAAATTATACATCAAGATTATGTCTTAAATGACCCTGTTTCTGAAGGAATTAATGGTGATATAAGCAAGAGACAAAGTTGGGCTAAAATGGTCAGACTTTCTAAAAATCTCATTATACAATGATGATACCTAAATATCAGGTTTCCTGGAGAAACTACTAGGGACTAGTCAATTTAATTAAATACTTTTAGTGTCATATAAAGGGACACATATATTAACAGCATGAATTGAGAAAGATAGGGCATTTTTAAAAAAATACTCAGATTCTTGGTTGAATAATTTGACCCGAGTAACTCTATCCCTTAATTTTGGTCTGGCCTCACATGCTTTATGTTTTATTTTATTATTGTTATTATTGTTGTTAATTACATTATCATTATTATTATTATTATTATTATTATTATTATTATTATTATGACCACTACAGTTCTTTATTCTTTTATTGGGTTTAATTTCCTTTTACAAAAATATGCATGGACCGAAAAATGTGACTTTGGGAGCGTATTGCTGAGTTGTTGCTGATGTCAGTTTCATACTGTGATATTTTTTTCTCTATTTACCACGGGATCAGTACTTCAATATAACGATGTGCATGTTTTCCCCCCTTCTCCCGCTGCATGCAGGGATTCGGGTTCGTAACTTTCGAGAATAGTGCTGATGCAGACAGGGCCAGGGAGAAATTACACGGCACCGTGGTAGAGGGCCGTAAAATCGAGGTGCATGTCTTCAATAATTCAATCTCTGGTTTATATTTTTCTTTTCTCTTTTTATGTATTGCCTCACTTATTTCACATTTGGAACCTTGTGTGTGTGTGTGTGTGCGCGTGCACATGTATGTGTGTGTGTGTGTGTGTGTCTCCTTCACTTTCTTGCACTAAAATGTATAAAAATAACACTTCTGTCCTCTCTCACCTTTTTTTGTTGTCTGGGGATTTTAATTTGAATTCACTTGTGTGTGTATGTGTATTTTTCATTTACTTTTTTTCCTCCAAAACGTTCATCCTTCTGCTCTCTTGATTTTTTTCCTTTGCTTCAGTTTGCGAGACTCCAAATTCCTGCGATCAGGCCAAAATAAAACTAACTTAACAAATGTCTATAACTATCCAATTTATAACATTGTGTCCTGTAATAAATCAAGGGGCCAGCCAATGCCCTCTTTCGGGAGGCCAGTTCGCCTCCATGTGCATGTGATAAGCAAAGAACAGAAGATGGTAGAGGTTGTGGGGAGGGAGAGAAGAATCCAAAATTCATGTGGTTTTCAAGTATATTTAACATCAAGAATTTCAACAGTAAAGGGATGATAAAATCCTCAGACAGGGTTTGATGGCTGCCTGTGAATGTCCTGTTATTGTGACCCAGTCAGCCACCTGGTGGTCACCAGCCCTCCTTAAGAAGGCAATGAAGGTTAACTGGCTCCTTTCCCCTTTCCCAGTTTTTAAAAGTATAAAATATACAAGCCACCATTTTGAGTAAGATGTCTGCATATTTTGCTTTTTTTTCCCCTCCCTTTCCAATGGTTTAGCATTTAGGGCCCTTCACTTGACTCACTCTTTCCATGGTAACTATACACAAAGCTGGCGATGGTGCCCGATGGCGGTAAGTGGAACCAAAGCACTAGAGAAGAAGCTTTATAAACTGTAATTACCAAACAAATAAGAAAGAAAAAGTCCATCTGCCATCTCACATTAACACTACAAAATGTGACTTGACTTGTTGCTCCTCTTCCCCCCCCCCTTTTATTTTCGATGCTGTTGGGTAATGCCGCCTGGACTTGGATGTACATTGTTTTGTAGCCGTCTGAGCTGTTTGGTACTGACATCGTGGTGATTTGCCCCCTGCACATCTTACTCAGAGTTACTGAACTCCAGTTTGGCTGGTTTTATTAATGCACTTCCTGCCCCTACTTCCTTTCCTACTTTTCCTCTTTCCCAAACTGTTCAGAGCTGTGACTGTTCTCTCTTTGTCCTTGACGGCTCTGCTTCCTGCCCGCGACACCCTTCCTGACCTCTTTCTTTGCCCTGCCTTTTTGTGCTCTTTACCCAAGTTCCTCTCCCACCCTTTCTCTCTGTTACTTGCAGCTATTGGTCTCTTTTTGCTGACTGGTGGTTTCTGATTGGTTCTGGCCATTTTTCTTTTTAAGTGCTTGGGTGCATTCTGCTCTCGCAGCTGGTGTAAGCCCCTGCCCCATTCTAATCCCGTCTGTCAGAGCCTCGCTCTTCTCTTTCCCTTCTTTCCAAAACTGATTGTTTTTTTTTTCTTTCTTTTATTTGTGTGTGTGTGTTTTTAACCGCATGCTCACAGTCTCATCATTGTTGTATCCCATTCTTTCTTTTTAAATGTGAAATGTTTGTATTATTTGGTGGGTCAGACTAGAGTAAATGCAGTTTTCAAGCTCTTTCCCTCACATAGGAATATTATCACTATATAAATCCTAAAAGACAGTAAGACAATTTTTAGTTCCAATTTTACCTAAAATTGGCCTTTTTATAACATAAATGTATCACTATACAAATTTAACATAATGTAAATCTTCAGAGGCAAAATAAGACATTTATATTTTGTATGTTTTATAATTGTTTTTTTAAAAATTGGCCTGTTTTATGATCTGACAGCACTACTTACCGGTAATCAAGTTTTAGCACGAGGCTTCATCATTCTTGCAAGAGCTTTGAGGATCATTCTTGCAAGAGCTTTGAGGCTGGTTCTGACACTGGGCCACAGGATCCTGACTTCTAAGGAGTATCCTAAGCTTAATAGTCTAAGCTCTGTTCATCTTTCCTCCATCAGCACCACCTTTGTAACTCCTGCCTACCCTAGCACTAAGAATGTTTTAAATTACGCCATTTTACAATTAGCGTAATTTATTAGCTTTAGTTTTTTCAGTTCTTTTAATTGCCTAGTTTGAAGGCCTTCTGAAAACATTATTTATAAATGCTAAAACCACAGAGTCTAGAAAATTCACAGTGGTTCTGAAGACTGTCATCATGAGAACCGAGTTCCTACATTGACTAACTTCAAACAGCAAAATCTTAGACAAACATAAAAAATGCCGATCGTTCAAATAGGTGAAATCTCAGATTCATTTTCTTATCTTCTTGTAAATCTATTTCCTGGCCCATGTGGGAAGACTGTTTTATTAATGAACTTCAAGTTCATGTGCAAACAGAATTGTTTCCAATTTACCTTTTTTTCCATATTTTCTGTAATGCAGAGACTTCTCTGTTTAAGAGATATCCAAAGAACTTGCAAATGTATTTTTTCTTTGGAATACATTGGGTGGTAAAGCAGCCCCAGGTTCCCATTTGGAGACTGAGAAACTGCATTTTACTCTTGTTAGCCTCATTTAATAAACACTTCAATTAAAATACTATAAATATTTTATATTGCTGTATTAATTATTTAAATCAGTGCTCTCTGAAATTTACATTTTAAACTGAGTGCTATGTTACTGGATGAACAACTCCGTGTTCCTTAATGTGGGCTCCTCCTCCCTGTCCCTTCTTTCTATTTTTAGGTGAATAATGCTACAGCACGTGTAATGACCAATAAGAAGATGGTCACACCATATGCAAACGGTAAGAGATTGCAAGTCATCTTCAGAATGGTGTCATTTATTCTTGAATAAATATATGAGCTTTTCATACACATCAAAGAATCTCTCTTGATCTCAGTCTTAAGACAGCATTTTCTTTACCTAAGGATGGTATTTTATTTTTAGAAATTACCTTTTTTCTTAGAATGAAGTTATTTAGTCATTAAGGTGTTATGGGCTCAGTAAAGTTCATCTTATACACAGTATGAGCGTGTCATTTGAGGTTACCTATTAACTCTAGTTAGGTCCCAATAGGGTACACTCTGTTTTAGTTGCTGTAGTTCTTTGTAATATATTAGGTATGCCCATTAAAGCCCTGGACACCCACCAACTCTCACTTTTACTGCTGCTTCCTACTCATTTGAGCATGAATGGAAAAATCCTTGACCCCTGGCTCTCCTTTTTTCTAGAGGTAACAGCCATGGGGTGTGCATGTATGTGCGCGCACACGTGCATCTTCAATTTTCTAATCCAGGGGTCGGCAAACTTTTGAGATGGAAGAGCCAATCCTGTCCCTCGAAGTTTTGCGAGATCTATAAAACAAATGAAATCACTATTATGTGAATAATATCCTTTAAAATTTTTATGAACGAAACTGTGATAGTTTTATTTTCATTTTCAATTTTACTTCAGAGCCACATGTACGTACCCAAAGAGCCACATGTGGCTCACGAGTCGCAGTTTGCCGACCCCTGTTCTAGTCCATGACTACATGTTTTATAGTGAGTTTTATAATTGTTTTTCATTGAGAAGGAAATTTTCTGTGAGTATTTTATCTAATAAAAACAGAACTTTTACATCAGTTGTCAAATTTAGTCTAGACTCCTATTCTCTAAATGAGATAGGATAGGATTTTAATCTGTAATGCAACAGTTGCTTTGCAAATTTGGCCATCTTGGGGGGGCAAGAGGAAACTGAGTGGGTTGGGTCCTGAGGCCTCCCACTCTACTTTGGTCTAAACAACTTCTCATTCTCTGTTGTATATTTTAGAGTTCTGCATAAGATTTATCTAGAATGAAAGGGAGGCTTTCTCCCTTTTTAATTGCTTTATAAAAACTTGAACCTACTGCTAGAGTATGTACTGGTAATGTCTTAAGTAGAAGTACAATATATTAGTATTGAGTGTATCCCACAAAGTCTTCAATAAATATATGTAACCCAGCTTTTCAAACAGATTGATATAAATCAGCATAATTTATATTTTCCCTGCTCATTTTATCAGCGGTATATCATGTGACCACCTCCCACTTTATCTCGTTTTCTTCTTTTCACTATCACTAAAACAGAAGTGTCTGCAATTTTGATAAAAACCCAATGTAAACAAAAAAGGAGGGACAGAAAAGTATGTCCGATTTCTTTAAGATCCAGGGGGAATGGTGTGGCAGAAAGAGCCGCTGACTGGAATTCAGAAATTTTACTTCCGGAGTTGACTCTTCAAATTTACCCTGTGACAGTCGGCCAATTTCATAAACCTATCCAGTTCTGTTTTCAGCTCTATAGATTGGCAGCCATAGAATTTTAACATGAGTGGCTCTTTAGAAGTCACCAAAATCCAGCCCTCTTAGCTTATTATTATTTAGGAAATGAAGCCCCGAGAGGTATCGTTACTTACTCATTGTCCCAGAGGTAGTACCTATTGTAACACTCTCTTTGGGTTTTGTGAAGGTCAAAATGGCATAAACATCTGTGAAAATACATTGTAATTTGTACAAAACTCAACATATAGAAATATTATTGACAGCATGCCATTGTACATCATCATTATAATGTGCATTCATTGCATTTATTTAAAGGGAGTGCCCCGGTAATAGTCCCATTGGTAGGAAAGACAAGGTTATTATTTTTTTTTTTTAAAGATTTTTATTGGGGAATTGGGGGGATGGGAACAGTGCTGGGGAATTGGGGGAAGGGGAACAGACAAGTTGCTGTCCTTTTGCTCTTCAGTCTAGTTGTGGAGGATGTTGCTTCACTGGCCCAAGTTGGCACCATCATTGCGCTCTTCTCTGGCGAGGCAGATCAGTCGCCGGCTTCTGGACGGCCGCTCACTGCGGCTGCTGGCCGCTCACGCTGGCTGCTGGCTACACACGGTAGCCCATGGCAATCCACTGCCACAGGGACTGCAGCCCACGCCGTCGCCGGCGACTCAGGGCAGCCTAGCTCCAGGTTGAGCTGTTGTTCAGCATCTTAGCTGTAGAGGGCAGTGTCACTGGCCCTCATATGTGGGATCCGAACCGGGGCCCTCTGGCATCCCAAGCGAGTTCTTAACCATCGCGCCACTCGGCCGGCCCGACAAGGTTATTTTTTAATATTACTCTAAAACAATATTCAAACCTCACGGAGCCAAACCTGCATCTTCAGTGTTCAAGGTTCTGACAGGAGCGAGCTGGGACCCCTTCTGGTGAATTCTCAGGCAGCGTTTTAGTTCATGTTGGGTGGAGTCACTTGATTTGTCTGACATTACAGACTTGGTGCTCTTACAACTCCAGCAGGATTCAAACCCAGATTTTGCCAAATTTTTCTGTGGACTAGTGATGAGGCATGTCTGTGAACCCATAAACTAATGAATGGGGATTGGATTGACTCGTAATGAATGGGTTTTCTCTTGCATAATGTCTTTGCTTGTAGCCATTTAAATGTGGCAGTTGGCCTCTTCTGTCCATATAGTCACAGAGCAGTTGTGGCATATGTAGGCCCTTAAGCTAATACAAACTAAGTAAACTAAAAAGCCAGTCTTTAGAAAAATATAGGGCATGTTTGCTTATTTATGTATAAAATTCAATAAATATTGTTAATGTTACTATATGTAATTCTCTTTAATGATCAGTGGGCAGGAGGACATTTTTCTTTTTCGAACACTTGTCATAGTCTTACAAATATAAAAATGGGAATGAAGAAATACAGTTGACGCCAAATATAATGTTTGGGAATACTGAAAATGTATAAATGTTTAAGCAAATGTTCGACAGCAGTCTAGTATCCGTCAGCTAAAAAGTCTGCTTAAATGTGTTCATTACAAATTCAAATCTCAGAAGACATGCTCTGAAGTTGAGAATGTACCTGGAATTTTATTATGGCATGTCTCTCCTTGCCGCCTTGGTTAACTCCAGTGAAATCCCAATAGTAAATCCCAATGAAAGGAGATTTCAGTTTGCCCAGGATACCATCAACATGGTATAGATGAACATGGAGTTCAAAGATCCAGGTCAAATTTGAATTCACCCAAAGGACACCTTTATGAAAATAATTGGAGTAGTAAGTAGTGTTAAGACGATATATAGGAAAGTGCATCACAGCGCGGTACACGATGATACACACTGTATTATGCCTCTTTTCCTAAACAGGGAGTAGGTCAGTAGGCAGTTCTATGAGCGGCAGTACACCACACCCCAAGATTTACTCATATTTGCTTTTCCTTTTCGCATTCCCTTTCCATCTTCCTACCTCCCAATTTTTTTTCTCTCCCCTCTTTTCCTCTTACCTTCCCCGCAGCCCCTCATTATCCCTTTACTGTGCTCATCCTGCTTCAAGATCATCAGGCCTGGAAACATCACTGTCAATGTTAGAATGCCACAGCCGGCATTCTAAAGAAAAGGTGGCACTAGACAGAAATAAACCCAGAGATGCCTGAGGCCTGCCCGCACATCACTCCTTCTCCCCGTGCTCCTTACGCAGCCTCCAGTGCTCACTGTCTGTCCTCTCTTTCATTTCAGGTTGGAAATTAAGCCCAGTAGTTGGAGCTGTATATGGCCCCGAGTTATATGCAGGTAGGATTTAAGTTAATTTTTCCATGTGTGCTATTATATAAACTGTCACAGCATCTGTTGTTTTTCAATTTGCTATTCCTTGGTAACCTTTTTGCATTTTTAAATTTTTTTAAATACGATCAGCATCCAGCTTCCAAGCGGACGTGTCCCTAGGCAACGAAGCGGCTGTGCCCCTGTCGGGAAGAGGGGGCATCAACACTTACATTCCTCTAATCAGTAAGTAGCCTCTGCCGGCCTGGCACTGCTTGGCTGTCGTGAGTGGGCAGCAGTGGGCCCACAGTCCTCTGTTCCCTGAGTGTCACCCATAACTGAACAGGAGGCAATGCCCTGGCCTGCTCAGCCTGTGCTAGAGTCTTTTTGACTACATGTGAAGATTGCCACAAAGCATAAATACTTGGAAAAGGCAGAGGTGGGGTGAGGGCATGTAAAGAACATTTCAGTCTGTACTTGATCATAAAGAAAACAGAAGAAGTAAGTATTTTTGGAATATATTATACATGTTCTCTGCAAGTCAGCTTTGGGGCCTTCAGAGTGTCATTTAAAAGCATCTCCAGGATTATTGGTTATTAGCTCTGTTGATACCTTTTTTTTTTTTTTTTAAATTGCGGAATTGGGGAAGGGGAATAGTGGTGAGGAGTTGGGGAGGAGAACCAGCCAAGTTGTTGTTCTTCAATCTTAGTTGAGGATGCCAGTTGCCATCTGGCTGCCCGTTGGCAGCTCGTGGCCTCTAAGCTCAAGGTGCTGTGTTCAGTTAGTAGCGAGTGGGCATAGCCACCATCCCATGCGGGAGTCGAACCAGCAGCCTTGTTGTTAAGAGCGTGCACTCTATCCACTGAGCCATCCAGGCGGCAGCTCAGCTCAAGGTGCCGACTTCGTTCAGTCTTAGTTGCGGGCGGCTGTAGCCCACCCTCGAACAGGCAGTCTTGTTAGGAGCACGTGCTTTCACCAGTTAAGCAATTCTGCCACCTGTTGGCAGCTCAGCAGCAGCTCAGCTCGGGCGCAGCATCACTGGCCCATGTGAGAATCGAACCAGTGGCCCTGTTGCTCAGAGCTCGCGCTCTTAAGCTAATTCTTAACCAACTGAGCCACTCGGCCGGCCCCTCTGTTGATCTCTTGAAAGTCATTTTGACCTGAGCCATCTTGCTCAGCAAGAGGTATGAGAGAGTTCAGTGGACATGGCATCAGTGTCCCTGCAGGCTTTCCAGAGGGCAACACACAGGAAGTGGACCCTTAGAGAGTATCTGCCTCTTTACAGGATGCAAGCAAGGCCACAGAGGACAGGTAGTTTCCCTCTCACCTTAATGTTTTTGGATTAAAACATTTTAAGTAAAGGAACAAAGTTGACTAATGAGATGAAATGTCAAGATTATTGTGTTCAGCACCATGTAAAAACATAAATTAATATTCTTATGAAGAACAGTGATTATAGGCACATAATCATGATTTGAAACAAGATTAATCATTGACCAGAGAGTTTATATCAGTCGATTTAAACTGCCCACAGAAATTAGAAGTCTCGTCTCTTGTTATGGCTGTAGTTCTCAGAGCTGCTCACCTGCGTCTCAACAGCTTGCACTGTGATGCCAAAATGGGGATGGGGCAGAGGAAATTCAGTCAAGATTTGCGATGATGGAGGCACGGCACCATTAGCTTTTGCATATTGGGTCTCTCTTTGCATTTCTTTTTTCAGAAAAGATATGGTACATACCTTTTCATCTTTCCTGTAATTGGTTCAAAGCAAGTTGTGATTGTACACCTGTGGTTGAATGCAAGTTGACATTTGTGTCATATTTTGGGTCTCCCTTTAGTTCCTGGCTTTCCTTACCCAACTGCAGCCACCACGGCGGCCGCTTTCAGAGGAGCCCATCTGAGGGGCAGAGGGCGGACGGTATATGGTGCAGTCCGAGCGGTACCTCCAACAGCCATTCCCGCCTATCCAGGGTAAGCATTAGATTCCAAAATAAGCAACTGGACAAGAAAGTACCATGGCCCTCTTATAACTCCTGGGACGTTGCCGTGCCACATAGTAGAGATTCTAAGAATATTTGCAAATTAATGGATTAGATGGCAAGAACCAAAATATACCATCATCAGAATGTAATAGATATCAATTCATTATATAAATCTTCATTTGGGCCAACTTAAGCCCTCATGGTAGCGGCTTGAGATAGTAGCCAGAACCGTCTTGTGTTTACTAGCAGTGTGTTGGCATGGAGTTCACTCGGCATCGCACGAATGTGGATTAACATGACTGCAGAGAGCCAAACGAGGAGCGCAAGCTTGTAGTTCAAGCCTGCATCTGCTGTTCTCACCCCCCATCACCACCCTGGGTCCGGGCTGAGGCTCCCACACGTGCCCTCCCTTTTGGCTTCACTGCCTGGGTGGTGAGCAGCAGAACTAGTTACCCACAATGGATTTGCTTTCTTTGTAGGAAACGGATTAAAAGAGGTTAATTGAAAGATGAACCAAGTCCAATTGAATCAAGGGAGAAAGGGAGAAGTAGGAGAATTAAACTACAGGTGGCTACTGAGTGATGGTGAAACAACAAATGGAGCTGAGCACCCTTCCCCCTTTGATTTTTGTACGGAGGGTGTCTCCTGCAGTGGAATGATTCCAGAGCAACAAATAAATCCTTTGTTACTGAATGGGGGAGAAGGAGTGAAGAGGGCAGGTTTTGTTTTCAGGTGTTTCTCAGTGTCAGCCTAAAATGTATATTTTTAGAGTGGGCTTTTTCATAAGTTAGTTGGATCAAGGACTTTCCTTCTTCAAAGATGTGATATTTGCGTTCTTCCTCTTTTCTCTGCCTATGACAGGTTTTTTTTCCTTATGCTTATTGAGGAATAAACTTAAGGGCAGAGGAGCCTCTTCATTGCTACTTAGTTAAAATGCAAAAGGAAAGAGCCTCCTTTGGGTCCTTTTCTGACAGTGAACTTGGCTTTGAGGTGTGCTGATTCAGCATTCAGTCATAGACCAAATGGACCTGCCGTCAGGGGTCCTCCATGGCACAATCCTGTGCTGTAATTCCAAAGCATTTTTATTAGGCAGATACGTGTGCATGTTGAAATAGGCAGGCTCCAAAAGCCACTGGAAGGGAACTGCTTTAGAAATACACTTTTGTTTGCAAGATACAGATGATTAAATCCCATGCATCCCATCATCTCCATCTTCTGCCATTACTTACTTTTAATTTGATCCTTTTTTTCTCTCAACTTGCCTTTGACCTTCAACCTCTGACATCTCTTTTTAAAGAAGTAAGATAAAGATGCAGTATTGTTTCACCAAGAAATAATTCAAGTAAAACATAAAAATGTACCTTTTGGAAGTTCTACACACTAGGAAAATTGTTCACGTAGCGTCTTCCATTTCAGCCCAAGAGAGCTTGCCGTCATGTTTGTGGAAAGAAATACTGCTCACCAGAAGCATGGGACTTCTTTATTTTCTAATATTCCTGAATTACTTTATAAAGTGATTGAATCCGTTCCTATTCAATGTAGGCCATTTCAGTATATTGGCTACACTTGAGTCAGGTATATATTTGTTCAAAGATATTTTATCTTTCTGGCTAATCACATCAATGACTGTGCATAACATTGAACGCTGATTTCCCATGTTTTCTGTTTTATTAACTAAACCACCTGTTTACATGGAAGATGGCAAGGAATAAGTCCAGTATTTTATGGGGAATTGCCTAAAATTGCTTCTCCACTTAGTAAACTAATTTCATCATTAATCATTGTGTTTTAGCCTCCTAGTGGCATTTGATACAGGGAATAGTGGAATTCTTCTAGAATGTAGGTGAATATTCCCAGTGAGTGACGCAGCTTAGTGTAAAATTTATTCATGTTTTTAATGCCACCACTCTTCTCTGTGGGACGAATGGTTTTTAACCGTTGCCTGTATCCCCTCTCTGAAATTGTTGAAGGTTAACTAGTCACCATTTGGCATCAGCGCTTTGCTTTGAATCAGCCGTCTCATTATGGACAAGTCTCTTTTTTACAAAAATGCAGTTGAGAGGCAGATTACTTTCCAATATCATTCTTTCACTGCAATTGGAGACTATGAAAATGGGTAGAATTTATCTAAGCGAACATCACAAATGGGTGTAATTTGCCTGTTGTGTAATCCAAAGGCGCAGCATGTTTGGGGCACTGCAAAGTGTGGCCATACTGTCCTGGAAACACAGCAAAATGTCATTGGAAGTAGAACTCAGAAATGTTCCCACTACTTGTAGGAAATAAACGATTGCATATTCAAGTTAAAAATATGATTTGATGACCTCACTTGCTAGCTAATTGGTTATTGTAACAGAGAAGGTAGTGGTGAAAATGTCCAGGTTGTTTAGTTGAATAAACAATAAACGGATCTTCTAATTTAAAACAGCCAAATCTTGATTTAACAAATATGAAGAAGAAAATCTTTTATCCCTATCCCTGTTCTATGTCTGTTGGTCCCAAAATAATATTTTGGGGTAATTATATGCACAAAGTACCTCAAAGGTTTGAAATCTACATTTTAGTTATAAAAGTTTAGTGTTGCTCAGAATTAAAACAAAAAGTCATGTATTTTGTTTGTTGGCTACAAGATTAATTTTCTAAACAGGAAAATAAACCCTTCTATTCCTAATCAGTTACTTTCTCAGTTTCATTCTTTTAAATAAAAACAGGTCTTGCCCAGAACGTCAGTTAACAATAGTATTTTTCAGAATTCCATGAATATTCTTACAGTCAAAAGAGAGCCCTTAAAATCTTCCAGTTAACTCCTCCCACTCTGGATTATATTGTTACTATCTGGGATCCCCACTGCACCTTTCAATTCTTGGACCTTGGACCAATCACCTTAACCTTTAGCTCATTATCTCTGCTTGTGAAAGCAATGCATTGTGGGTATTTTTGGTTGTGTTTTTTTTTTTTTAATTACATTCTGTGTTTACTTTGGTCAGAATTGATTGACTTGTTTTTCTGAGGTGTTGCATTGGTTCTTAAAATGCTGAATAATAATACTTTGCATGCTTGTGTGATCAGCCAAATCTTATCGCATGTCTAATGTGCAGGGTAAAAAGCAGGTGATGTATGGATATTGGGAAAATTTACACATTACTACAAAACCAAAAGAAAATAATAAACATCATTTTGATACATACTTTTGCCTATGTCCCACCCTAATGGAATTCTTTGGGTTTGTTTTTTCATGTTAAACTCCCCTCTACATGCCAGCTCTTTCTACCACCCCCTTACCGCACCCCAAACCCCCCCCACACACACACACACACAGACACATACCTTTCGAAAGCTCTTTAAAGAAAACCTCCTCATAGGTCAAGCTTCTTTTTAAAAATACTCCAGGTATGAAAAGGCAAGGTTTCCAGCCCAGCAGATTTTCGATAGCTTCATTAGGCCCTCTGGGGATGCTCTTTACTGTTTTCATCTTCCATTAATTACCAGCCATCCAGGTTGTTCATTCCAGGTTTGCACTCCCTCCCCTCCGCGCATGTCCTGGAGCTGTGTAACGTGCGTGTGCACCTTCACATTTTCCTTGCTGACTTGCTGTGGCCCAAGCCCAGGTTATGTATTCATACATCACCTGCCTGTGTAGAACGCATGTGCATGCTGCCGTCCTCAATAACCGGAATGTGTTTCTGTTCTTTTGTTTTTTTGTTTTTGTTTTTGTGTGGATTTTCTGCAGTGTGGTTTACCAGGACGGATTTTACGGTGCTGACCTCTATGTAAGTACACACACTGGGGCCTTCTCGACCCCATCCCCTGACAAGCCAGCCTTTTTTTTTCTGTTTCTTTGGTTTGGTTTGGTTTTATTTTTTTAATATAATTTATTTAATTTTTGTTTTCTTTTTCCATGTGGATATATATATTTATATATTTAAGAATGCAAGCATGCTTCTCTGCCACTGCGCTTGCCCCTGGGTGCAGAAACTAAGCCTTTGGGTTTCCTGGTCGTTGCTAGAGTCAGTCTACTGGACATATTCTTTTCCCTTCCCTATACCTGCAGGGGTTCTCTGGATCACTAAGATATCTGCGAGATGGTCAGCAGGTTTAAAGTCTCTTATTACTGTCGTATCATGTGCATACATAAATGACAGGATAGCTGAGCCGGAAGCCAGCTCTTTCCCTTCTCTGCTTTTCGTTTCATTTCACATCCCTCTTTAGATCATTAGAGCCTCCATTTATAAGATGGTAGTAAGTATGCTTTAGGAATGGTGTGCTTTCCTGTTTCACGTTCTTTGAGAGAGCACTGATTTATGAAAGTGAAATAAGGAACCAGTGCCACTGAACAGTGGGTAGCAGTGAGAGGAAACCAAATACTTAGTTGCTTAAGGCCTTTCTTTATCAAACAGTCCACAGCTGATGGGTCTCTTTTCTTAAGCGCCACTAGAGGGACATGAGTGGCAGAATTAGCAACCTAGACCCTTCTTACAGACACTGGCCGGCATACAAGATCTGTTGATTTCTACCAGCCATGTTTAACTTAAGCTATTACCTAAACTGTCTAGCTGTAGCTAAAGTCACATGATGGTTTGTCACATGCTATTTAAATTATGGACAAAGTGATCTAACTGACAAAAGAGTCACGATTTTTGAGTTTTGAAGTCTTTTATTGGGACCTCTTCAAATGATCTTTTCTGAATGCAAGCTTGGTCTAACCACCAAATCACTAAGAAACAATTTTGTAAGAAAAGGTTGTCAGCTTGAAATTATCCCTTGGGCCTAGGTAGCAATTGTCCGGAAATGCTTTCTCCACCCTTACCTCCCCAGATCAATAAGGGCTCCATTTTAGTGAACTATTTTCAAAGTCTGCCAGAGATTCTCTGACAATCTAAAAATGTTAATGCACTTTCAGAATACACTCTGTGTATTGCAGGAAGTAGAGACAGGATAAAATGATCCTTCAAGGTACTGTAGGTGACTGTACACACTTGTCCTGTGTAGAGAATGCCTTCAAAGTATGCTCTAATTTAACAGATGCTTCACGGAAACTTAGGCATGATTTGGTCCCAGCCCTCTCACTTCATAGATACGTTTCTTAGAGAACTTGTTAGTTACCCTGAATTACGTAAGTGATTTGTACAGCAAGCATAAAAGCCAACTAACTAATCCTTATTTCATTACCTCTCTTAGTATTTAATTAAAATTGACATCTTTCCTCAGATGATTTTTCAAGAGGTAATGTTAGGTATATTTTTTCCTGTGATTTTTCAAGAGGTAATGTTAGGTATCTTTTTTCCTGTGCTTGCAGTGAAACTTGAGGGTTAGGGAAATAAACCCTAGTTTTACACCAAATTATGTATGCTTTTCTAAATATACATATTTACATATGATCTTCGCATGTACATTTCTTCCATGTACACTAGGGTCCATATGCTCATGAAACTCATCTTTATGTTATTGAAGTTGTTTTCTTGAAAGCTGATCTATTAGAGCACGCTTTCCACATGAATTATTTCTTGTCGAGTCTTTTTCCTCTCTAATATCTTCCATATTTAGGGATTTTTTTTAAGTATGGCCTACTTCTACCTTATTAAGATTTGCTTACCTTATTAAGTCAACCAACCAAATATTTGTTGACAGTTCTCTCATTTCCTTTGTTCACAATATATGATTTCATTAAGAGAGAGGATTTTTCTGTACCTGAAGAGAAAATACTCTTGAATTTTTTTATCTACTTACTAGATTACCTTATCAAGCTAAACAGAAATAATTCAGTGACCTTTCCAAAATTTTTTTTGACCTGTGACCCCTTGTTGATGAAAAGAATTAATAGTAATGTTATTATCATTTTTAGTTCCTATCTTAAAGCAGTTACTTAGAGAAAAAAGTGCTGAAATGATACCCAAAATCACTAATGAAAAATAAGAATACATTATGAGGTAACTGTTGAGTGAGGCCTAATATAACTATAGCTTTTAAAACTTTATATTCCCTCCCCCAGTTTCATTAAAGATTTCATGAAATGTTATCCCTGGAAAACAACAACTTTATATGCCCTATTTCATATGTGAGGGAGCTAAGGATGCTTCTTTTAAAACACACAAACAAATTAAAAACCCTATTGTTTTACCTTGAGTTTGTTCGGCTTCTCTCTACATTTTTCCATCTGTGGAAATCAGTCAAGGTATGTTTAGCTCTTAGCTCTTGTTTCTTCAGAAGAGCAGGTTAGAAATACAAAGTGGAGGGTTTATCTAGTATGAAAAGTACACTGAACCATAGCTTGAAGAGATGACATGAGGGAAAAGAGTTTAAGTTGCTGGTTTGGTTTTAAGTTATATTAATTTAGGTTATTAATTGTGGAGGTTTTTAAAATCTCTCTCCCTGCTCTATACTTAGGCCATAATCCCTGCTAGCTGTTTCCTTCATTTCTGTTGCTTTTGTGGCACGTTCTTCTCTGGAGAACTGATCTAGCAATTGTGCCCATAATTTGTAAAGTGACCGCCCTCTCCCACCGCCCCTGGATAAGACTTTGGGAGTATAGCAGATAGATTGCATCCACCCACCCCCTCTTTTTTTGTGATCGATAGAAAAGGCATGGTTCACCCTAATTCACCTTTTAAATGGGATAACAAACCACTCCTAATTCTCATCCTGTGAAAAGCATGCTTGCATCCAAAGGAAAGAAAAGGCTGGTGGGCCCCTAGCGGGCTTTTTGTATGATTGTTTTCCTTCCACAGCTGTGTTTTTTGAACTGCTCTTCCTGTGTTCTGTTATAGAATAGTCTTACAGGAACCAATCATTAGCGCTAAAATACCTCAGGTAGGAGTGCCAGTGTGACCTGCCAATCAATCAGATTGTGGATTGCAGTGAAAAAAATTGAATTATACTAACCATTCCAGCTCCACGTTAGAGATGGGAACAGAGGCTTTTTTGGACAATCAAGACTTGTGAGCGTGTGATCTAAGCCCTGCTACCTCAGCAGTGCACACAGTCAAGTTCCATACATGATGGCACTTCCTCCGAAATTAAATGTCCCTGTCCCATTGTCACATATCCACACCGGGCGTGCTCTATGCACTGTCCCATCACTGCCACCTCTTTTAGTTTGTCAGTTACATTGAACGGTGCTGTTCAAACTGGTCTTATATATTTGGAGATCTTAGCAGTTGGGGACATTTTCTTACTACTGGGAAAGAAGTGAGAAAAGGGAGGAGGTAGAATCTTTCCAAACAGAACTCATGAATCCCAGATTGGGCCCTACCTGTAGTGAAATCGTAGTAGTAATTGGACCGTGCTGCCTAAGATTGAAGCTGCCTTAAAAATCAACACATATTAGGACTCTAAAATGGAAACGTATTTCCCTTCCTCTTTTCCTTTCACCTTAAAACAAGATCAATGAGCTCGTTTGGATAATAACACATGGTTAGAAGGTTTGCTGATAGCTGGATGCTAGAAAAAAGAAAACAGATAGCTTTTCACAGTTGATTTAGTTTATTTATGTAGGTATCCAGCGAGATTTCAGAAATGAACTACTTTGGGAAGATGTGGATTAGGAGAGTGTTCAAAAGGTTTAATTCATGAAAGATGATCTCATCTATCGTAGAAGTAACGAGTGAGAGGTATCAAGTTGATCCTAGCAATTTCTTCTCTTAACCCCAATTTTAAATAATAATACAATAAAATTTAACCACTTTAAAATTTTTTCATAACGACTTTTCAAAGTAGATCGGTCTCACAGTCAAAAGCATAGCAGTATTTCATTAAATTCTTACATTCACGTCGAGGTTATTCACATTCAGAGGTGCCTATTGCCCCAGGAGAACCCAGTCTCCTAAAGAGAGCAGTCTAGAGCAGCGGCTCCCAGCTGAGTGGGGAGGAGGTGAGGGACAGGAAGGAGTGATGGTCCTGTGGTGACAGAGGGGCAGCAGTCAGCCCACGCCGGGTGGGGTAGATCTCTGCCCTCTGTGCTGCAGGGATCGTGGCATCGCACCTGCCGTGCTCCCCTCACACCCACCCCTACTGCCCTTGCTCTGTAACCCTACACACCACATACAGGCAACAAGCTTCCATTTTGTCTGCTGGTCTTGAAATACACACTTCTCCTCAGTGTCACATAATGTCATTGTCTTCAGGTAGAACAAAGGTGTCTTGACATCACATGCTCACCAAAGTCCTGTTTTAATGTAAACCTAAGACAAAAATATAATAAAAGTAAAGCCAGGTTAAAACCAAGACAAGGGGAGAGTCCGCCAGTGTGAGATGAAGCTAATAGATATGCAGATAAAGGTCAGATATAAGAGGGATGATATGTAGAACCTTCCATGTTGCTCTAGTTTAAAACACAGCTGCAGCGCTGTGCAGAAAAATCGTATGGTCAGTGTGGCAATGTTATAAAGTTACTTAGACGATCAAGTCGAGTCAGAGTGCAGTAGGACATCCCTAGAAGGTGACATTGATTCATGGAAGCCCAAGACTTTAACAACAGAAGGATCCTAAAGGTAACAACAGCATTCCCATTGAAAAAGCTGGAAGTGGAGGGCAAGGATATGTTATGGCTGTGTGGAAAGAAAGACACGATGCTTAAACAGGAAATACCTTAGAACACGGGGATGGGAAGGTGCGGTGCCGAGAGGGCCAGCTTACAACAGGCGAGTGCTGCAGGTGAGGACTCAGGCACACTGTCAGGGTCAGGAAGGGAAGGGGGAAAGCAAGCACTTAGCATTGGGCTGCCCGACTGGGAACACTAGCCATCATTCAGAATGAATGCAAAGGAATAAGAAAGTAACTATTGGGGTGTCGGAAAAGTCATGACGCATTTTTGCAATGAAAAACATAGAAAAATACATCATGACTTTTCCAACAGCCCAGTACTTTTAAAGGGGCATGTGTATATTTGGATCCGGCTTAGCCATGCCAAATTTATCCAGCTATCAATCAGGGTTCCAAAAAGCTGTCCGTGTGTGCCCTCCTACATTAAGGGTGTGCTGTGGCCATGCTAATCCCCATTTTTTGTTTTATTTCAAATCACACACAGATAGAATCTGCAAACTGCTTCAGATCAAACAGGTCTGATTGTGTGTAAATACATATGTCCTTTTTAATTTTTATTATTAATGGTTGCTTCAGTTTTGCATCAGTGCATGGTTAAAAGCAATACACATCAGCTATTTCATGACTTCATATCTCCAAATGAATTATTTCTCCTCTTTTTTTTTTTTTGTTTGTTTGTTTGTGCAGTCAGCTGAAGAAATGTTAACATCTCACTCTAAATCTCTCAGTGGAGTCTCTGTTCCCTTCTCTGATATAACAGATGGGTTACTGCTTGTTATAATTATTAACATTGTGGTGTGGGCCAGGGCTAGGGTGGGCAAGATTGACTATTTCTTTGGGCTGGGGAGGGGCCAGTCGTTAGGGTATGGAATGTTAACTCAAGTGGTGACTGACTGTTTCCGTAATACCAGGTCGTTGTGGCTGCACGCTCTAGTAATTGAGGCTGTGTACTTCACCGAGCTTGTGGTAGAGCCTAGGGCAAACCGCTGTCCCAAGAGAATGCTGGGATAGATAGAGTTAGCCAATATGAGTCTGAACGTGGTGATTTTGCTGGTTGTTTTAGCTCCAGATGTTGGCATGCTTAGTTTTTAATGTGATTAATAAATGTGGCGCCATCTCCCCTCCCCACGCCTGAACCCTGTCTCTCCTCCTCCCTCCCCCACCTTTGTTCTTTTTGAAAAACTTAAGAAAGAGTAATGAAAACCTTGGTGTTTCAAACTGCACTGTGTTCTCATGTTCCATAAAAAGACTTCATATTTGCCCGTAGAAGTGAAATTGAGAAAAGGTTCTCAGCCAGGAATCTTGACGCCCTCTAAAATCCAGAATAGAGATAAATATATCTGAATTTTCTTTGTCTTATATTTTATATTATGTGATGGATTTTGTTGAATAACCAATTTAAAGCCGGAACAGAAATACTTTGAAGTAAGAATACCTCCAAGAGGAGTAAATTCATGATACACAATTTTTCTAATTTTGGGGTAGTCATCGATGAATTACCAAATTAGTTTATTAGGATGTTAGCTGCCCACCCTAAACATAGACCCCCTGTAAAGGGCCTCTCTGTAGCTCCATTATCGTAAAGTAATTAGGAGAGTAGTCATGTTGAAATATCTGTTTTAAAAAAATTCATGTACTTTTTCTGACTACTGATACTCTTCTTGAGCCTTTTATTGTCAGTAAAATGTTTGTACCCCTGTCCTGTTTTCCTGAACTTGAATAGCAGAGAACCCCCCATCACATCCAAACTCCCGAGTCCACGTTCACTCTCAGTAGAAGGAAACTGATGCAGATGATTCTCTCTGCATCCTCTAGCTTGGAAGGACACCTGTTTTCCATGGTGATCCATTTTGAATTGTTCTGATTAACAAGAACGTTACCCCCAAAGCGCTGACATTCTCATGGCTTCTTGCAGGAAAGTGACGGGAAGTGGTTCCATCAGAAACCTCATTCAGAACCTCATTTTCCCCCAGAATTAGCAATGCCGCTCCAAGCTGTGTTGATTTGATGCGCTCCCCAGTAACTGAGTTACTGAGTTGTCAGTACTCTTGAGCCTCAGATTCCCTTAATGAGAATGTATACCTCTGCCCTCTGGCACCAAACTTCAGATTTTAAATGTTTTACTCAAGTAAACATGAACTAGGCTTTAACTGCCTTTATTACCTTGACTTTTATAATTTTAAAGATTTTTTGGTGTTTGAGTGAATGCTAGAGACCAACCACATAAGTGCTTGTTGACCACGTTATCCTGGTTTACAGAGAGTTTTGCTAGATAGCTCTGCCGTAGACTTCACAGTAGCAAACTTTACTTCTAAGCTAATAAAACCATTTCTAGTTACAATGAAAAATCAAGCCCTTAAGATTTATTTAAAGCTTAAAATTTCAACTATAGTGATTAGCTTGTTTTTTTTAACATATGCTTTTACTGCTTCATTTCCTGTAAGGTAGAGAGACACTTCCGTTAGTTCATAAGTGATGTACACATGCGTGTGTGTAGGCTGCAGCCTGGACGGAGGGCTGTGCCCACGGCGGACTGGCCTGTCCTTTCCCACAGACCTGGCTAGAAGTCAGGCAAACAGCCCCTGAGGGCGCTTCCCGCCATGTCTCTCCCTGTTGATTAGCACTTCATTGCCAGGGTTTAGTAACATTAATTAGAATTTTCTTACCTATATGAATATCTATAGAAGAATTTATAGTTGAGAAAGAAATGTTGCCTTTCTAAGTCATTCCCCTGAAGGACACGGAAGGAATAACAACATACCCCAATGAGGAATTTTTTTTTAATGTACTTTGGAGCTACTTCTGATGACTTCAGTCAGATAAATTTGAAGAGCAAGAGTAAATTTTCCCCCACAATGCAGTTTCTTCAGTTAGAGAAAGCATAATTTATGTAAGAAAGAAGCAAAAAGCTTTAGAAGCCCTTAAGAAATCACAGATATTTCCAAAATAAGGTCTGACCAGAAATAAAAGCAGCAAGCTAGAAGCCGCCACATCAGATGGCCAAGAAGAGCAGGGGTCGCCTTAGAAAACACTTGTTATCAATCCTAAGAAATGACACAGAAGTAAATTTGAAATATCTTGTGTAGATTTAGCAAAACTGAACATTTGAAGGAATAGAAACTATTGGGTTGTCGGAAAAGTCATGATGTATTTTTCCTATGGTTTTCGTTGCAAAATTATATCATGACTTTTCCGACAACCCACTAGAAAGCACAGGGCAGAAAGCTTCAGATGTCTGTGAGAAATGCACGCACCAACCTGCAGAAAACATGTGCTGCTGCTCACGAATGAAATGATGTCGGAATGGACCAGTTAACCATTGTTACATTTGACAAGGAAAGGCAGCATTAAAAATTCACACCTGATAGATAAAGTTTCACACCTGATAGATAAAGAGAAAAGGTCAGGCTTGCCACTGTCTAATAGCCTGCCTCGTGTGGCAGCTGTCGTGATGACTGTGGACTACTTTATAAGGGAGCACATCGGTTCACCCTGACAGTGAAAACCTTCGGAGTATTAGGTTCATCGAAACGGGTGGAACGGCAGGACCTGAGGGTTTGAAACTTCTTAGGACTGAGGATATTTGAGCCATTGGAAGAAAAGCTCCTGAGCCTGCTATGAAATCAGGATGTGACAATATAAGAATCTGTTCGGTAAGGACAATAAGTGCAGTTAAACCCTTTGGGCTGGGGCGGTTCTTAATCTATTGGAATCCAGCTAAAGGAGTCTCAGCAATTTGTAATCTGATTTGCCTGAGTCTGAAAAACAGATTGGAGCTGGCAAACTTTTTCTGTAAAGGGCCAAGTGGTAAATAGTTTCAGTTTTGTAGGCCATGCGGTCGCTATCACAACTACTTTCAGAAACAGGTGGCAAGTTACATTGGGTCCCAGACTGAAGTTTGCCAACCCCTGATTTACCCTGGTTTTTCCTTCTATATATTGCCTGACTGTCTTAGCCTCTTAAACGTGCCAGGTCAATGGAGCATAGCACTATACGGGCCTTTCTGTTACATGCTGTATAGTCTCTTAGCAGTAAATCAGAGTATGCATCAGGGACTCTGAAGTTAACACATATAAGTTTAATACGTTGCATTTTATAACTTACACTTCTGTTGGTTAGAGTTCTCCCAACTTCTTCTAAATATTTTCCCTGTTGAAAGTTCCAACAGAGACTGTGAAATAAGACAGATCCAAACTCTATCTTCATTCTTAAATTTGAGAACAGGTACCACCGATACGGTTTATGTTTGTGACCGTCACAAATTGGCAATCAGATCTCCCTACATTACTCTTGTACTGGAGGAACATGTAGACTGATGCAGTTTGAAACATTCTCTTCCCATGTGTGTGTCTGTGTTCGTGTCTGTCCCTGTGTCTGTCGGTCTGCGTGTGGGTGGGTGTGTGTCCATCTGCCCTCCCATGGGGAGAGGTATCTGTAAAGTCAGTTCTCTTCTCTCCTGTAGGGCGGATATGCAGCCTACAGATATGCACAGCCTGCAACTGCGACCGCAGCCACGGCTGCTGCAGCTGCTGCTGCCGCGTACAGCGACGGGTAAGTACAGACGTCAGAGCGAGCATGGCGCGGTCCCCAGGCGTCACCCCTTCTCCTCCCTTTGCTTCCGAAACAGCACCTAGCACCTGAGCTGCACGTAAACCTCAGTTTTCTGCAGGCCTTCTCCCAGTGGCCTCCTCTGTCGTGGCCGACACACGCACACGGCTTTGACTCTTCACCCCTCTCTCTTGTTCTCTTGGCTTTAATGCCAGCCTCCTTCTTTGTCATGTCCAGCCCCTTCTTTTCCATTTTAGAGAAGCACTTCAGAATTTTTCAGAGTACTGCATCTAGGAGTAGAGATAGGAAGGTTTTTTCTACTCTGCCAGTTTCCTATTAACATTCCAAGACTGAGTTACTCACACATCCTTAGCACAGTAAACCCTTGATTGTTTTTTTTTTTGGTATTACTGCCTTTTTTTTCTCTTCCTGATTGTATTTCTTCTTTCCAGTTATGGCAGGGTGTACACAGCCGACCCCTACCATGCCCTTGCCCCTGCCGCTAGCTATGGAGTTGGCGCTGTGGTAAGTATGTGTACCATTTTTTAAAAAACATTTTACTCCTCGTAACTTTTACCTACAGCCTACAAAGGACCTAGGGAGGGAATCACGTTAGCCCTTCTTCCGTTACCAAAGCATTAAAACCACGTAGGCCCATCTGGAAATGTCAGCTCATGTTCTTTCCCTGTGTGTCACAGTACGAGCCACACGGCTTGGTTAAGGACAGCAGAGCCGCGTGAACAGTGACAGCTGCCCTGAGGAGCAGCCCTGTTGGGGAGAGAAGGGAACAGGTCAGTGCTTTATACTGGCTCCAATGTTGGATGCGCGCCTGCGGCGTAGTTTTACTGACAGTGAAGACCTCAGGGCGTAAGACTCCGATTTTCTCAGGAAACTTTTCAAAAAACTTAATGTATCTTAAGTTTCAAACGCAGATGCCAAACAATGTCCCTGCTGTCCCTAAACCTCTGGTAGTTAGTACTAGAAGTCCCCAAGTGAATGCCTTGCACAGGTATTAGTAACATCTGTGGCAGACTACAGTATTTTCGTGGAAGCAAACAGAAAACCCACAGAGCTCGCCTAGAATAATCCCTCCTAACCAAACTCGAATCCTTCACTGCAGTAGTTTTGTGTTGGCCTGGACACCTCCATGTCCAGTGATCAGGACTCACTGGCTCCTGCAAAGAGGCCTTTCCACAGTGACACCTCCTCCTGCCAGACATTCTCTGCAATCCGAAATGCACCTGGGCAGCCACCTAGGAACGTGGACAGAGGTGTTCGCGAGGGGGTCAGAATGATGTCACATTGACAACGTGAAGGAATGTGGGACAGCCCGTCATTGTCTCGCGCTGAATTTCTACTGATGAAGATTTGTGGGAGGGGGTGATAGGGTCGGGGGCGGGGGATGGATGTTAGAACTGAGGTGGAGACATACAGTATAAAGTGATGGAGTTCCTGAGGTTTTATTTACTGCCAACATCATGTAAGTCCTGTACTAAAGGAGAGCTGTGTTCCCAGAGAACGTTTATTTGAAAAAAAGCAGCCATTAGATAAAGATAAAACAAAGGAATAAAGCCCAGTTTGAAACCCCAGTTATAAATACATATAAACTCAGCTATGTCAAGAAACAACCTATTGGTGTTATTTTATAGATGATCGAGGAAATAGGCTTTATTAGTTGAGAGAGGGACTCAGGTGTAAATCCAGCACCATCTCACGTGGGATATGACAGAGACTGGTCAGAAGCAACCTGTGCTCCATGGACAGGCACCATGTAAGAAGGTCAAGTCAGCCTGCTGTAGGTCACGATTGTAATGATGTGATCGAGGTAAACAGAACCGTGCTTTTAAAAAGCAAACTATGACAGACCTAGTTTGGAACTGTATTGAGTTTCCCTTCTGAGCTAATTCGTGTGAATAACAAAATGAACCGTTACCGCCCTCTCTCCTTGAAAACATCAGGTCAGCTCTGGTTTGAGCATCTCACAGGCGGAAGTTGGTTTCCTGACTTCACCATACCAGGCAGCAAATAATCAGCTGCTTGGAAGCTTCCAAGGAAGCCGTTTTTCCAAATTCCTTCTTAGGACAGTTTTCTTCATTTTTAATGCTTCTCTCATCAACCTTTTAATTATTTTTATGTCTTTAATTACTGCAGGCGAGTTTATACCGAGGTGGCTACAGCCGATTTGCCCCCTACTGAAGTGACGTGAGACCCCTGCAAATGGGACAGCCCCCCAGTTCATGAGGCCTGGCTATTGCAATATTTACTAGTAGAGGAACTCTATAGCAAGATGAAGAGGAAAAACAAACAGACAAACAAACAAACAAAAAAACACAAAAAAGAGAGAATACTTTTTTATACCTCACTATGTTCTTTGAATATGTATTTTTCCTTTAAATTTCTGCCTTTAATTCTTTTGTTCCAAAGATTGTGCATTTTTTCTTTTTTTTTCTTTTTTTTTTTTAACTGTGGTAAAAAAAAAAATAATAATGCATTTCCATGTCTGTATGTCCGTGCTTAGCTTATTCTATCAATCATGGAAGAGGCAGTTAATGAGGAAAGAGAGACATTAGGAGCCGATAAAATGTATCTGATCAGAAATCAGCAGGCAGAATTACCAAAGTGTCTCTGGTGCTGCATGGCTGGGGGACAAGCAGAAGTGGAAGCCATCTTCCTGCAGCAGGACATTCTTCCTGCCTTCTGAGTTTCTGGTCTTTGGCAGGCAGTTCTGATTGGCTGTGGCAGGAACCCACATGCTGAGCGATGCTAGGAATTTGTGCTTGCAAAGCAGGAGAATTAAAAAGGCACTTTCTTCTCCTCTTCCCTCCTGTCTTCTCCATTCTTTTTACAATCATCTTACATGCACAGCCTGAGACAGTTGGCCTCGTTTTTGGAATTAGAGTATTAATATTTCCAAACGTGCTCTCAGACTGTGGATAATAAACACCTCGTTAGGAAACCAATCTCAGAATGAACTCTGGAGTCTGAACAAGATCATTCTTTTCTTCCCTGTCATCCTCGCATTCCTGCCAGGCTTCTTCCCCTTTCATCGAACCACAGCTTAGCTCAAGTACCCTTTTATTAGCACCCTCCTCCCATGTCCTCAAGATTCAGGAATTTAGAACCCAGGGACAGGAGAAGAAACAGCCAGTGGCCAGGTTTCCTCCAGGTATCTGGGCACGGCTTGAGGATTAGAAGTACAAATTGTCGAGAAGCCAGTAGAGGCTAAGGAAGAGAAAGGCATATGAGACAGAGTCCAGCAAGGCATGCTGATAGTCCCGATCTTCCCCTGCATCAGAAAGTCAGTACAGAGTATAAAACACTTAATAAAGACTCTTGGCAGAAGATAAGACGCCGAGTCCTCGGTCAACTGTCTCTGGAAGTTTTAGCAATTAGGATGTGTGAGGGCAGGCAAGGCACTTCGTACTGGCTCCAAAGCCATAGGAATTTCATCTTCCAGAGCCTTTAGGAGCCACTTCTCTTTCCACAGCCTGGAGCCCTCGCGGCCCTTTCACCCAGCTTCTCATTATCCTCCAAAGACACCCAGCTGAGCACCTGGACCACTTGGTACACGTGAACACTACAGGACATGAGACAGGACGCCCTGGGGCTGCTCCCCTCCCATACTGGAAGGAGGGTCTGAAATGGCCAGAAAGCCATGTGGTGGCCGTGGCAGTGAGTCACCTGGCTTCAATTTTATATGTATATATCTATATATATCAAGGTAGAGGAGAAAGGCTTTCTCTTCTAGCAGTCAGCTGTTAGTGATATAAAGGCAAGGGTCCTGCAGCATTTCCAAAACGAAGGCATTAGAAAACAGAAAAGCACGGTCAGTTTGGCTCCCTGGTCTATTCACATGGTACTAGGGTGACCTTTCACCCAAGGGATGGCTGCTAAAGGGAGTAAGTCAGAGACATGGAGCTTCTGGTCTGTTAGGGCTTTGGTTTTGGTTTGGTTTTTGTTGTTTTTTTTCACTCCTGCCTCCACACGCATTCTTGACTGATAATGGATTCGTGTCCCTGAATTAAAATGACTGACATGTGACAGCATCAAGCATTCTTTGTAAGCAGAGTACCGTAGCTGGCAAGGACTGGCCTGTCGTGTCCAGCACCTCTCTCCCCGCTTCAGAACCCTCTCTCTCCCAGTAAGTGGGAGGGAGGCTGTACCTGATACTAGGGGGTCGTCAAGGAAGCTAGAGGCCTCGATGCAATTCTTACTGACTCGGGGGAGGAATGCATAGAGGAAGGGACACCAAACTGCCCGGTCCATTGGCCACTTTATAATGGTCCCCCTCCCCAAGCCAAAGTTTGGTTTGTTGCTGTTCAGACAATTTTTGTTGTATGTATATAAATACTTTAGTTAGAGGAGGGGGGATGGGATGTGGGGCTTGCACAGCTCTAGGGACTGGGGGCAGGGAGAATGTTTTTCTTTCTTTCGCTTTTCTTCTGAGGGAGAGCTTTTACTGACTAAAGAAACTGAGAGAAATTTCGCATCATGTTCAATAGGGGCCATTCTCACCAAACGGCAAGCCACTAGGTGGAGACAAGGCCACATTGTAAGGGGGGGGTGTGCACAGGGAAGGAGAGGAGGACAATGAGTGTAAGAGTCTTGTCTTCTCTTTTCCAGACAGAGATAGGGATGGTGGGAAGGGTAGAGAAGGCGGCGTCACAGCCTGTGAGCAGGCAGAAGCTTGAGCCTGCGGCACCTTGTGCGCGTTTCAGTTCAGCTGGTTCTGACTGAGGACCTGAGGGCCAGCCCTGGTCTTGCTGTGCTTCCGCGGGTGGTTCGAGCACCGCTTCCTCCAGCTCCCTTTCCTTAGGAAGACTAAACAGAGCTCTGCTTTTCATTCAAGGGCCTCTGGTGTCCGGTGTCAGCACTGACTTAGGGCCCTCGTAAGCACCTAGGTGTGACGGTATTGACCTTCCCGTCCACCTTTGAACTTGGACTCCATCCAGTCAGCCTCATCAGAAACAGGTGCCTCAGAGCATCGATGCTGGTAGATTCCTGACTCGTTCCCATTGGACTAAGCAGCAGTCAGAAGAGAGTTTGGCATCTTGGGAGTTTGTTCGAGGATGCTGGCTGATAATTCCAGAACACTCGCTGTGCCGAATCACAGTGCGGGGATGACGTCAACAGCTTTACTGCAGCTTGTGACGGGGACTTTGCTATACTCAGCATCTCACTCTTAGAAGCTGGGCCCCTTTAAGGAGACCGCTAGTGAAAACCTTACTCTGAATATTCCTCTTTCAGCCCAGAGAGCTGTCCTTAGGTCTTTTCCAGAATTCCTTGAGTTACATAGTCTAACCCAGACCTGCCATCGTGAGTCATCATTTTTAAGGTTCTCAGGTTTTACAGAACCTACTTCCACCATCATCCTCCAACAGCCACAGTTAGAATTGAGCCGATCTAATTTTTTCCTTGAAAAAAAAGGGGGGGGGCGGTCTGGGGCTCAACGCTTAGTTTAAAAGGAGCTAGTGGAGATCAGTTCCATAGAAATCAGCGGTAGCAGCTTTTCCTCCAAAGTGACTCCTCAGGGGCTGACCTGCTCTTAGGTTACTTATACCGTCCTAGAGATAGAGCAGATAGTCGGGGATCACCATCACCCTATAACCAGTCACGTGGCCTCCAGATAGGAGGGAGGTGTGAACTTGAGGTGGAAACAACCCGAGGATGTGCCAGGAGGGCTTGATAAACCCCCTTCCCTCCGGCAGGAGGACAAGGCCAAGCAAGGCACAGTCTGGAAGGCACTCGATGTGTACGGAGGCAAAGGGCACATTGTTTGGACGCTCCCCTCTGGCCAAGCCCAGCCCCTGCTCTGCTGCTTGCAGCCTTCTAGCACAGGAACCTCTGCAGAGCTGCAGGTGTTTTCCCCCCAGATAATAGGAGGAAAGGGACTTTGGGGGGTGGGCAAGGGGTAGTGTTGTTTTAAAAGCATAAGTTACCTGTTTGCACTGTTTTAAGATAGGAAAAGAATAGTGGGCAAGATGAACATCAAACGTAAATTTGTGTGTTTTTATTTTGTCATGCTCTTGAAAATGTTTGACCATTTGTAGTATACACCAGTGAAACTTGATTCTCTGTTGCATAAAACACTATTTTCTTGTTTTGATTTGTTACTGTCCAAAAGCCTCTTCCTCCCTTTCCCTTTTTCTCTGTTCTTCCTTCTTACTTGCTTTACTGATCAACCAGGCAATAGCCATCCAAGCTCTAGAGCACGAAGCGGGGCCCTTTCCCAGTCGGCTGAGTGTCCTGGGCCAGCGCGGGCCCTCTGGTTTAGTGGGCGCAGTGGAGTCCCTGGCACCTGTCTTTAAAATAAGACTGACAGACCAGGCTACGGCAGGTTCTGAAGTTCCTCAGTCACGTGCTCTCGGAAGGACGGCCGAGGAGCGGAGGGAGTCCTCGAGAAGCGCGGTTGGCTGTAGTGGCTGAGTTCTCACCCACGTTACCGGCACTGTAGCCAGTTACAGTTTACTCAGGAAACCGGTAGATCAATTCAGCCATGGTAGTGCTGGTTGGCAGGGATTGGTAACTGAGAGAACTGCTCGTCAGCCAAAAGTCAGACCTTGCCTTTAAGGAGACTGCCAGCGAGGAACGCAGGCCTGTCCATGTGGTCATGTCTATGCCGGTGTCGTGAGGGCTCGGCTCACACTGGCCAGCAGAAAGGGAACACTGGTTCTCTTTTCTTTCCCCACCCCCTGCCCCTGGTACTGACACCAGGACTCCAGAGTCCCAGGGGGTCCATGAGTTTTTGAATTTTTAAAAAATGTTTTTTGGTTTGGTTTTTCCGGGGACTGAGAAGTGCTTTAAGCAATGTCTACACCCCATCAAGACAGCTTCATCATTTTCTGTTCACAGTATTTTTGTGTGTGTGTGCTTGTTTTGGCAGCTCATTTTGGCTGTATTATAATCGAGTGATAAATTGATCCTCTTTTTTCCCTGAGGGATATGAATTGTTTTCTCTTGTGTTATAATTCTGCTTGTGAGTAGCTGGAGCAACCTGGGGCTGACACACGTAAGCTAGGACTGCAGAGTGCCGTGAGCCGGAGGGGGCTTGTCCCTGGCAGGCTGGCCCCCTGAGTCTCTGAGCTCTTCAGTCCAAATCTTTGCAAGGCTAAAAATGCCACAAAACCTCTCCCCACCCCACTCCCCACCCCCATGGCAGGGACTGACCATCCCTACGTGCAACATGCGGTTTCTCCAGCCCCCTCCCGTTGCCATGGCGAAACAGGTACCTTTGGGGCATGGGGGCATCACATGGGATGCTTGTATAACTGACCACCTTGCCTTCTGTCCCTCCCACCCCAGTCCCCAGAATCACTTCCTAGGACACCCGAGCTGCTTGCCCAGGGTCCTGTTTCCCTGCGAATTCCAGAGAAGCACCCCAGGGCTTTGTGACAGTCTCTGATTCCCTCCCCTTCTCATTAAGAATCATATTGTATAGTAGCTTTCAGACCATACAGTATTCATTGGGTTACTCCTATTATTATCAAGTAGCTGGAATTGTGAAGGTCGGAGTAGTTAGATCTTTAGCTTTTATTCCTTATTTTTTTTTGTATTACTATCCATGTGTATAAATTATTGATCATGTTGCTGGCTTTTATAAACTCTAAGCGAAGGAGGGGCCCTGCCTCAGCCTTTGCAAATGGTAATGAAGCACTGTTTTTAAATAAAAGAGAGAAACACCATTCTTTGGCCTGTGTGTATTGATCCCCACCCCTGTTGCCTCCTCCTAAAGATACAACTTGGATTTGACTCCTTAAGATGGAAAAAAGACGGCGACAAACCAGCGGTGCTTCCTGGTGGGCCAGGAGGTCAGTGAGGCAGAGGCCGGGGCTGTGCGAGCTTCTCTCGGTGGCTTCCTCCAGCTCATGAGCTCTGGTCTTTGCAGAAGCTGCTTCTCATGCTTCCGCTTCTGGAAACCCCTTTCAGGTTCACTACCTCACCTTGCACCCTCTCTCCCGGACTCCTAGCTGCTGCCCTCACCAGGCCTCAGGCTGCCGGCCCCCAGGGTCCAGTCAGCCCACCCCACCTTCCTGCCTGCTGCCGGCCACTGCTTTCCCCTGGCCCTGGGCCACCTCCTTACCTGTGGGAAGTGCCCCTCCAAGAGTCCTGCCTGACCCTTTTCTTTCTTACCTGTGCTTTCTCAACTGTCCTTCCTGCCAGCCATCCCCAAATCTCTGACCTCCTTTGTGAATCTCCAACTCCTTAACCTTGTGCTAAGAAGCAAGAAGCTTCCCATTTCATGGAGAAGATGGAAGCCATCACTCAGGGTCTCCCCAAATGAATTTTTGTTACCAAAAAGAATATAGACACCTACTTGGGTCCACACCCATTATTTCTCCTCCTTCCTGTTCTACTGGAAGAGGCGTTCTTCCTGTCTGGAGCTGACCCCTCACTTGAGCTCTGCGTCCCATCCTGTCCCTCTTCGGGGACCTTGCTTTGTTGTCCCCTGCTGCGTGGTTAACCTTTCCCTTCTAGTCCCTATGGCAAGTGAACGTGCTTAGATCTTTTAACACGTTAAAAAGTAATTTTGCAAGATCCCAAGTCCTCTCCGTGGCAAGCTTCTGGAGTAAGTGTCTGCCCGCCAAGTCCACTAACTTGCCCTTCACCCCGCTGCCGTCTGGCTTCTCCCTCCAGGACCCTGAAGCGGCCCCCTTGTGATGACAGCAAATGGACCCTTCTGGGTGTGCTTGACCATCGGCATTCCACACTGCGGCGTATTCTCAGGACCCTTCCACTTGCGTGTCGGACTGTGACAGGCCGAGGGGTGTGAGTTTCTCCACTACTGCCACCCAGTGCAAGCCAGCATGCCTGGCACGGCCCCTTAACTGGCTCTCCTGCTCCCACTGTTTGCCTGGCAGCACCCAGGTCTCTAAACAGCCACTGGTGCCACGTCCATTGTGTCATGATGTACTTCTAGACAAAACAGCCCTGGTCAGCTCCGAGCCCTTGTCCCTTCTGTAAGGACCTAGGTAACGGTCCCTGCTGGTTGGTTTGTCTCCCTGTAGTAGGATGTAAACACCTGGGCACCAGGAGCTTTGATCTGTTCACTGCTGTATCTCCAGGGCCTGACACACAGAAACATTCAATAAATCTCTGTTGAATTACTTTTCTCAGTTTTTTGCGCAAAGAGAGAGACAGCTCCCACCCGCCTCCCTCCATATTGCCGCCCCAGCAGTAATAGCGGACCCTACCGGAGCACGGTTGAGGGCCCTTCACCTACATGAGTCTGGTCTTCCCAGGCAGCCCTGAGGCGGGTGCTTGCTGGGGACTGGGGCTGGGGGGCACTCCTCAGGCATTTTTGGCTGGTCTTGCCAGGTGTGCCGCCAGCAAAATCCTGACTGCTGCGCCCCGAGGCTGTGTTTGCAGTGAGGAACCTGGAGGCATGAGGTAACGTATCCCGCTGGGACAGAGCACAAGCTTGCTTACTACCTGCTAAGTGGGTCCTCAGTGTTCCTCGGCTGCAGTGCAGACCTACTGTGAGTGCAGCATCCATGTGGGCCCACGTCACGTTTCCCCACACCCCATGCTCATGCTGCCCGCTGTGCCATGCGCAGTAAAGGGCTTTATCTCGGACCTACTCTTGTACCTTCTGCCAGAATCCATGAAACAGTCCATGAGCCCCAACACGCCGGAAGCACTTGGTCACTGTCAGAGTGGCCCGACCTCTGCTTCCAGTGTCTTCCTTGTCTAGGCAGTCCATTCTCTACACTGTCACCTGGATCCTCCTAAAATACGGCCATATCATATGGCCAGATCAAAACCCTTGAGAAATCCCCATTTCCCAGAGTCCCCAATTCCTCCCGATGGCACCGAAGGCCTCCACGCTGCACTCGGGGCTCAGGCAGCCTCACCCGCCTGGTTTCTGTGTAGCCTCTCCCCTGTCAGGGCCTGTTCCCAGACAAGCCGTGCTTCCTCACCCCTTCCTTCTGCTCCTCGACCCCTTCCAAGCGAAGTGGTCCTCACCCTTCAGGGCTCAGCTCAGGTGGCACCTCCTGCCCTCTGCTCCCCAGCACCCACACTCCTCTGGGATAGCGCCTGCCATGCTGACCCCTGCTGTCAGGCTGAGAGGGGCTGCTCCTGGCCTAGCCTGACAGCATCCAAAGACAAGCCATCTTTAGCGCCTCGTGTGCTCTCCACACATCATGTTTTATTGGCTTGAACCGCTTCCACTCCCCAAACTCTTCCTGTTTGACTGACTGAGGCTTTTCTTCGGCTCAAGCTCAGTCGTGGCATGCCGCATCTATTAATCACATGAACATGGGTTGGCGACGTGTGTTGGCACCCCTGGAAAACAAGACCGGGAGCAGCTGGATTTTCTGTTAGGGAATGTGTGCCTGTCTTTTCCTCACCAGTCCAGAGGTCAAAGGACCAAATTAATCATGCCCGGTTTCCCGGGGCACCTGCTGGAGTTCCCATCATGTAATCTGTCCCAAAGGTGCCACAGAAACACAGACGGGGACCACACAGCCAGAGATATGCCAGGCACGGACCCAGGGTGTGCTTCTGAGAGTGAAACCCACACTTCATCCCCAAGGATTGTATGTCACATGCAGGCTGACGCTTAGGACGGGGCAGAAAGCTGGTTCCGGGCCTCAGGATCCCATTTCTGTGTCTCCATCGATGGTCCTTGGACTGGACCCTCACTCTCCATGCTCCCAAGCTGCCAGTGGCTGTTGTGATGGCAACCAATGACATGCTTTTCGGTTTGAAGGGAGGACTGGGTTCTAGGCTTCTGTTTCTCTCCGGGCCGCAGCACACTGTGTGCTCTTGGTCAAGCCCCTGCCTGCCTGCGCCACAGCGTCCCCATCTGTGGGATGTGCCGATAGATCAGATATTCTGTGGGGTCCTTCCCAACGTTGAATGCTGATTCCATATTGTTGGAATTCCAATCCATAATGGGACTTATCTCTCCGGGTGAAATTCAGGCCGAGACAGAAGTTGAGTCCCAGGAATGGGGCCAGTCCAGTCATGTGTTCCCACCCATGTGTGCGTCTTCCCCGTGGAGCAAAATCCCTTCTCCTCAGTGAATAAAAGTCCTGTAAGAAGCCTCCGCGGGGCAATGATGCAAATGCTTTGACCAAGTGGTATCAAAAGCTGGCACCGCCAGTAGCTTGTCTGGAAAAGGATGCATCCGTTTTTGGAAACTACCTGATCTACTTCTAGGCCGTACATTGGAGGTTCTCAACCAAACAGGTAAGTCGGAACCACCATTTACAAACGGAGGCTGCATGCCCTGAGGTTCTGACTCCGCTGGCCAGGCGAGGGCTGGGCGTCTGGATTTTGTAAAGATGCCAAAGGTGCCACTAAACGTGCACCCTGCCTGGAAACTGGCACACAAAATGATTTGGGATTCTGCCATCTCCGAGGCTGGAGGCTTCCACAGGTCTCCTGAGAGACAGAACGGGAAAGCTCTTTAAGAAAGGCTGGCATCGATGTCTCAGTGTTGGTTCACTGTCACAAGTGTACCAGGCTGGTGTGGGCTGGGGGAGGGCGTGTGTGAGAACACGCTCAATTTTGCTCTAAAGCTGCTCTGTAAAATAAAGACTTAACTACAAAGATAACGCAGGGAAGGGGAGCAGCTCGGCTGTCACGGGGTCAGTGGCCAGCTGCATTCACGGGCCATGGCTCTGTGCATCTCAGCCAGATCGCTCTTCCTAAACACATCTGGTCTCAGATTATCTCCCGATAATCTGGAAGAGTTTCTGTGATCAGTGAGCAAGATTCTGAATCCCTTAGCCAGGCACTGAAGACACCTCACAGTTCTAGCCTCAAACCATCTTTCCAGGCTTAGAATCAAGAACGAGGAACCCAAACTGAAAGAGACCTTACAGGTCACCCCCACTAGATTATAAGCTCCGTGAAGGCAGGGACTTGGTCCTGTTCGTCACCACGAGCTAGAACATGACCGAGGTCCCCAAAAGCAGGGACCTAGAATGCCATCTGACTCAAGGTAGGTGTGCAGGGTCCCCTCCCCCACCCAACCCCTCCCATGCTTTTCACACTAACCCCTGCCATGCCATCCCTCCCTGCCGCCTATTCCCCTCAAGGCCATCTCTCTGTGCACATCCCCAGCATGCTCCAGCCCCGCCATCCCTCTTGCCTCTGAGCTCTCGGGCACTGACTTGATTCCTACCACACTCGGCTTTGTGCTGCGTCGTTTTGAATTCCTCGAGGCCAGGACTGCGCTTCGTGCGGCTCTGTCTCCAGGCCAGACGCAGACCTGGCGCTCCCGGCGTCCCTAGCGGTTCCTCCCAGCAGAGCCCTGTGTAGTTCTCCCCACACTGACCGGAGTGTAGATCCACTTTCTCCACACAAGATGGAGCTCCTGAGCCAGACGAGGAGAGGATGTGCCTGAGAAAGTCCACCCACTTCAAGCCGGTCAGCTCCTCTGCTCTGAGGCTCAGTATTTGTTGAAGTATTTAAGAGTGTGGGCTCTAGAGTCAACTTATCTGGATTTGAAACCTGGCCCACCACTTCCTCTGGCAAGTGGCTTAGCATGCCTCAGTGTTTTCTTCTGTAAACTGGGGATATTAATAGTCCCTACTTTATGCACCGTTGAGGTAAGGATTTTAAAAGTTAATATATGTCACATGCTTAGAACTATATGGCACAGAATATTTGCTCAGTAAGTGTTTTTGCATTATTAGTATCACTATTGTTATCATTGTTATTAAGAGTATAA